CCTCCTCCCCCACCCCCACTGTCCCTCCCCTATTCCACCCAATAGACCCCAGTGTATAGTTGAAAAACCAGCTCCTGGATTTACTGATTTTTTGAAGGGTTTTTCATGTCTCTATCTCCTTCAGTTCTGCTCTGATTTTAGTTATTTCTTGTCTTCTGCTAGGTTTTGAGTTTTTTTGATCTTGCTCCTCTAACTTTTTCAATTTTGATGATCAGATGTCGATTTTAGATCTTTCCTTCTCATGTGGGTATTTATTGCTATATATTTTCCTCTAGACACTGCTTTAAATGTGTCCCAGAAATTCTGGTATGTTGTGTCTTGGTTCTTGTTGGTTTCAAAGAACGTCTTTATTTCTGTCTTCATTTCATTGTATATCTAGTCAGCATTTAAGAGCCAGTTGTTCAGTGTCCATGAAGCTGTGTGGTTCTGAGTTCGTTTCTGAGTTCTGAGTTCTATCTTGATTGCACTGTAGTCTGAGAGACTGTTTGTTGTGATTTCTGTTCTTTTGCATTTGCTGAGTAGTGCTTTACTTCCAATTATGTGGTCAATTTTAGAGTAGATGTGATGTGGTCCTGAGAAGAATGTATATTCTGTGGATTTGGGGTCGGGGGTTCTGTAAATGTCTATTAGGTTTGCTTGGTCCAGGTCTCAGTTCAAGTCCTGGATATCCTTGTTAATTTTCTGTCTCATTGTTCTGTCTAATATTGACAGTGGGGTGTTAAAGTCTCCCACTATTATTGTGGGAGTCTTAGTCTCTTTGTAAGTCATTAAGAACTTGCTTTATGTATCTGGGTGCTCCTGTATTGGGGGCATATATATTTAGGATCATTAGCTCTTCTTGTTGCATTGATCCTTTTACCATTACATAATATCCTTCTTTGTCTCTTTTGATCTTTGTTGCTTTAAAGTCTATTTTGTCAGAGACTAGAATTGCAACTCCTGCTTCTTTTTTTTTTTTTTTTTTGCTCTCCATTTGCTTGGTAAATCTTCCTCCATCCCTTTATTTTGAGCCTTTGTGTATCCTTTCATGTGAGATGGGTTTCCTGGATGCAACACACCAATGGGTTTTGGCTTTTTATCCAGTTTGCCAGTCCGTGTCTTTAGATTGGGGTATTTAGCCCATTTACATTTAGGGTTAATATTGTTATGTGTGAATTTGATACTGCCATTTTGATGCTAGCTGGCTGTTTTGCCCATTAGTTGATGCAGTTTCTTCATTGTGTCAATGCTCTTTACCATTTGGTACATTTTTGGAGTGACTGGTACTGGTTATTCCTTTTGATGTTTAGTGCTTCTTTCAGGAGCTCTTATAAAGCAGGCCTGGTGGTGATGACATCTCTGAGTAATTGCTTGTTCATAAAGGATTTCTCCTTTCCTTATGAAGCTTAGTTTGGCTGGATATGAAATTCTGTGTTGAAAGTTCTTTGCTTTAAAGATGTTGAATATTGGCCCCCACTCTCTTCTGGCTTGTAGGGTTTCTGCTGAGAGATCCACTGTGAGTCTGATGGGCTTCCCTTTGTGAGTAACCCAGCCTTTCTCTCTGGCTGCCCTTAGCATTTTCTCCTTCATTTCAACCCTGGTGAATCTGACGATTATCTGCCTTGGGGTTGCTCTTCTTGGGAATATCTTTGTGGTGTTCTCTGTATTTTCTGGACTTGAATATTGGCTTGCCTTGTTAGGTTGGGGAAGTTTTCCTGGATAAAATCCTGAAGAGTGTTTTCCAGCTTGGATTCATTCTCTCCATCACATTCAGATACACCTATCAAATGTAGATTAGGTCTTTTCACATAGTCCCATATTTTTTGGAAATTTTGTTCCTTTCTTTTTACCCTTTTTTCTCTAATATTGCCTTCTTGTTTTATTTTATCGAGTTGATCTTCAACCTCTGATATCTTTTCTTCTGCTTCGTCAGTTCAGCTGTTGGAACTTTTATATGCTTCACAAAGGTCTCGTGTTGTGTTTTTCAGCTCCATCAATTCACTCATATTCCTCTCTAAGCTGTTTATTCTCGTTAGCATTTTGTCAAACCTTTTTTCAAGGTTCTTAGTTTCTTTGCATTGGGTTAGAACATGTTCTTTTAGCTCAGAAGTTTCTTATTACCCACCTTTTGTAGCCTGTTTCTGTCAATTCATCAGACTCTTTCTCCATCCGGTCTTGTTCCCTTGCTGGTGAGGAGTTATGATCCCTTGGAGGAGGAGAAGCATTCTGGTTTTGGGTATTTTCATCCTTTTTGTGCTGGTTCCTTCCCATCTTTGTAGATTTATCTACTTGTCGTCTTTCTAGTTGTTGACTTTCAGATGGGGTCTCTGAGTGGACGTCCAGTTTGTTAATGATGAAGTTATTTCTTTCTGTTTCTTAGTTTTCCTTTTAACGGTCAGACCCCTCTGCTGTAGGACTGCTGAGGTCCACTCCAGGCCCTGCTTGCCTGGGGATCACCTTTAGCAGCCGCAGAACAGTAAGGGTTGCTGCCAGTTTCTTCTTCTGCTTTGTCCCAGAGGATACCTGCCAGATGTCAGTCTGAGCTCTCCTTTATGAGGTGGCTCTTTGGCTATATGGGGGTCAGGGAGCTGCTTGAGGAGACAGTCTGTCCTTTATAAGAGCTCAAGTGCTGAGCTGTGATCTCCATTGTTCCATTCAGAGCTGCTGGGCAGGTACGTTTAAGTCTGCTGCAGCAGAACTATAAATGCCTTTTTTTTTTCCCCAGGTGCTCTGTCCCAGGGAGTTAGGGCTTTATTTATAAGTTTCTGTTGTTCTGTTGCCTTTTCTCAGGGCTGCCCTGCCCAGCAAAGAGACAGCCTAGTCAAATCTGCCTGCAGAGGCTTTTCTGAGCTGCTGTGGGCTCCACCCAACTGCCATGTGAACTTCACTGCAGTCTTGTTTATAGGGGTATAGTTAGAACTCTCTTGGCAATGGCAGCCCACCTCTGTAATGGCGGACTCTCTCAGTAATGGTGGACTGCCTCAGCAATGGCGGACTACCTCGGTAGTGGTGGACTGCCTCAGTAATGGCAGACACCCCTCCCCCACAGAGCTGGATCATCCCTGGTTCAGCTGTGCTTCCTGTGAAACTCTCAATCCAGAGCATTTCACATTGCTGTTTTTTGTGGGGGTGGGACTCGCCGAGCCTGATCACCTGGCTCCCTGCCCCAAACCCCCCCTTTTTTTTCAGTTGAACGGGTGACTCTGTCTCCCAGGGGTTCTAGTTGCCAGTTGAAAAGTCGCCCAGATTTGCGTGAGATTTTATGCAGAGACCTGCTGAGCTGGCTGAAACAGCCGCACTGGCGGCCCGTGGCACTTTTTCACCCAGTAATCTCCTGGCCTAGCTTCCTGTTTCAGTCCACTTTTTATCAGTTGAATGGGCAACTCTGTCTCCCCAGCATTCCAGTTGCCTGTTGAAAAGGTACCAGGATCTTTGTGATTTCCCGTGCTGTGACCTACTGTGCTGACTGAAACACCTACACAGAGATTTGTGGTGCTTTTTTGCCCAGGAATCTCCTGGCCTGGCTCCCTGTTTCAGTCCCCTTTTTATCAGTTGAATGGGTGACTCTGTCTCCCAGGAGCTCCAATCGCCAGCTAAAATGGCACCTGGACCCGTGTATTTTGTGCGGAGACCCACCACGTCGGCCAAAACAGCTGTGCTGGTGACCAGTGGGGCTCCTCCACCTGGGAATCTCCTGGTCTGCGGGCAATAAAAATCCATCTGGATATGCGGCATCCACTCACTCTCCATGCTTTTGCTGGGAGCTGCAATCCTGAGCTGCTCCTAATTGGCCATCTTGGATCCTCTTCCAAATGTACAATATTTCATATAAGCATTTTCACCTCCAGAGTCTGAGACTCACACGTTCAAGCATGAGCTCCAGCAGGTCCTGTGTCAAAGCTGCCTACCTCTGACAGCCTTAGAGATGAAACCATTTTTTTCTATTTTTTTAAAAGTAATTTTTGCTATTGTAGATCTTTTAAATTTCCATATTAATTTTAGAATCAGGTTGCCAATTGGTACAAAAAGATATCCTGCTAGAATTTAGGTTGGGGTTGTATTAGATGTATAGATAAACTAAGGAAAATGACATTTTAACAATTTTGAGTTTTTTTGATTCATGAACATATCTATTCAGGTCTCTCACCAATGTTTTGTCATTTTCAGTGTAGAGTGTTTCACATCTTTTGTCCGATTTATCTTTTAGTATTTCATGTTTTTGATGTTATTTAGGTGGTATTTTTTCATTTCAATTTTCAATTGTTCATTGCTAGTACATTTGACCCTTGAACAATGCGAGGATTGATGTACCAACTCCCAAGCAGTAGGAAATTCGCATGGAAGGTTGTTTTTTTTTGTGCAACAGAGTTGTGCTCTGTTTCCCAGGCTGGAGCACAATGGTGCAATCTCGACTCAGTACAACCTCTGACTCCTGGGTTCTAGCAATTCTCCTGCCTCAGCCTCCAGGGTAGCTGGTATTATAGGTGTGTGCCACCACACTCAGCTAATTTTTTTGTATTTTTAGTCAAGATAGGGTTTTCTTATGTTGGCCAGGTTGGTCTCCAACTCCTGGCCTGAAGTGATCTGCCCACCTCGGCCTCCCAAAGTGATGGAACTATAGGCGTGAGACACTGTACCTGGCCTGCATAGAATTTTTGGGTTCCTAAAAATTCAACTATTGATAGCCTACTGTATACTAGAAGCCTTACCCATAACAGAAACAGTCACTTAACACATATTTGGCACATTATATGTGTTATACACTGTATTATTACAGTAAAGTCAGCTAGAGAAAAGAAAACATTATTAAGAAAATATTGAGGTAGAGAAAATTAAGTATTCATTAAGTGGGAGTGAATTATCATAGATGTTTTCCTCTTGACTGTCCTCCATTGAGTAGACTAAGAAGGGGGAAGAGGAGGGTTGGTCTTGCTGCTTTAGGGGTGGCAGATGGGGAAGAGTGGAGGAGATCAAAGGAGGAGAGTCAGGCACACTTAGTGTAACTTTACAGAATTATATCATAATTATTGTTTGACCTTTTTTTTTTTGTTTTTGTTTTGTTTGAGACTACGTCTTTCTCTGTTGCCCAAGGTGGATTGCAGTGGTGCAATCTCAGCTCACTGAAACCTCCGCCTCCTGGGTTCATGTGATTCTCCTGCCTCAGCCTCCCGAGTAGCTGGGATTACAAGCATGTGCCACCACACCCAGCTGATTTTTGTATTTTTAGTAGAGATGGGGTTTACCATGTTGACCAGGCTGGTCTCGACCTCCTAACCTCAGGTGATGTACCTGCCTCAGCCTCCCAAAGTGCTGGGATTACAGACATGAGCCATTGTGCCTGGCTGCCTTTTCAGTCTTTGAAAATGCTTTTATACAATACTAATCCTTCTTCCCCATTTGCTTTCATTTCAGTGTCCATTCATGGAAGGGTCCATGTTGTAAAAGAAGTCAAAAGTAGTCTTAATAATCAGAAGCCTTGCCAGATTGTTTAATAACAATTTGTTTTCTGGCACTGTTTCTTCTATATCTTCTTTAGTACCTGGTACTGATTCAAAAGCACTCATCTCCATCAAGTCATCTTCTGTTGATTCCTCTGGTGTGGTGTCTATTCCTTCTTGAATTTTTCTCAGATCCATATCTTGAAAGACCATATTCTCCTTCTTTTGTTGCAGAATTAGAAATCCTAGGTTTGCCGGCAGGCAGACCACTTTGACACCTTTGGTGTTGAACTCATGGGTTCTGGGTGGCTAGGAGCATTGTCCAAAATCAAAAGAACTTTGAAAGACAGTCTCTTACTGGCAAAATATTTCCTGACTTCAGGGACAAAGCAATGAAAGAACCAATCCAGAATAAGTGTTGTTGAGGCCTTCTTATACAACAATAAAACTGGCAGCGTGTGTTGATCTTTTCCCTTCAAGGCTTGGGCGCTAGCATGTTTATAGAAGCGGGTGGTCCTATTTGTAAACCCAAACATACAAAGATACAAACTATGTCAAACGCATAGCATGAGTACTGAGAAAGGAGGGCGAAAACACGAGAATGACATCACCTCTGGCCTCAAGGAGCAGTCAGCAGTCTGAGGGAGACAAGGACATCTTTTCCTGAAGGAGGCAGTGGAGTGGTGGCATGTCTAGAATGTGGAAGTAGAGGGATCATAGAGAGGCAGCTCAGCAGAGTGCTCATGCAAGGATTGGGCTACTGACCCCCCACTGCATGCAATGTATCTGACGAAAGCCATTTAAAATAGGTGATAGTCACTTTCCATCAAGTCTCTGGTATGGTCCATGGAGGCAGGGTTGTACATCTTGTTTCAGCATTTCAGAGGCCTCTCAGGGTTTGGATATGGAAGAAGACAAGCAGCAATGCTTATGCATTGCAGAGATGCAGGTGAGTTCCAATTTCTTGCCAGTTAGGAGGTCAGTGCTGAGGGCCTTGTTGTCTTTCTTGGAACATGGGATGCTAATTCCTTTCTGGACAGAGAGGTTTTGGTTGCCAAAAGGCAAAATCTAAATATTGCTTTGGGACAAATTCCAAATACATTAGATTTATTCAAATTTACTTTCTCTTTATCTTTCTGAATCTTCAGGGTTCAAAAACATTGCTTAATTATTCTCTTTCTAAACTCACATTGCAGCACAGGGCATAATCTGTCCCCAAGGCAAAGACCATTAGCTATTCTTGTCTGGAAAACATACAAATAGATATCTCAGCAAAGGCTACTCATGTATTCTTGTTCTTATGAGTAAATCATTGTCAGTGACTGTGATTTTTTTTTTCTGAAGGGATAAATACACGCCTCTATTAGGGTCAGGTTTTGTGCCTGTAATTCTTCTGCCTACTGTATTATAGGAGCTTAGAATCCCAGCTGCTGGCTCTGGGCTGAAGTTCTCTAATGGCTCCTGCAGGGTGGACTGGCCCACTTTCCCTATGTGTGTGTTTGCTGCTAACCTGTGGCTTTGCCCATGCAGGCAAACTGCTGGTAGTGCCCATGGATGGGAGTCACTGGTTCACCATGCAGTCGGTGGTGGAGAAACTCGTCCTCAGGGGGCATGAGGTGGTCGTAGTCAGGCCAGAGGTGAGTTGGCAACTGGGAAGATCACTGAATTGCACAGTGAAGACTTACTCAACCTCATACACTCTGGAGGATCAGGACCGAGAGTTCATGGCATTTGCCAATGATCCATGGAAAAGACAAATACGAAGTATATTTTTTCTATTAGTGAGTCCATACACTCGTATTTTTGACTTATTTTTTTCAAATTGCAGGAGTTTGTTTAAGGACAAAAAATTAGTAGAATACTTAAAGGAGACTTCTTTTGATGCGGTGTTTCTGGATCCTTTTGATACCTGTGGCTTAATTGTTGCCAAATATTTCTCCCTCCCCTCTGTGGTCTTCTCCAGGGGGATATTTTGCCATTATCTTGAAGAAGGTGCACAGTGCCCTGCTCCTCTTTCCTATGTCCCTAGAGGTCTCTCAGGGTTCTCAGATGCCATGACTTTCAAGGAGAGAGTACGGAACCACATCGCGCACTTGGAGGAGCATTTATTTTGCCACTATTTTTTCAAAACTGCCCTAGAAGTAGCCTCTGAAATTCTCCAGACACCTGTCACGGCATATGATCTGTTCAGCCACACATCAGTTTGGCTGTTGCGAACGGACTTTGTTTTGGATGATCCCAGACCTGTGATGCCCAACATGGTCTTCATTGGTGGTATCAACTGCAAACAGGGAAAGCCATTGCCTAAGGTAAGTCATCTCTCCTTTAGCATAGTAAGAGTAATCTGGCTTTGGAAATTATAAAAGGATTCCTCCCAGAACTGTGATTTCACATTTTCATTTGTTCCATTTCTAATTTCTTTCCAGTTTAACAAATTATTTTGTGCCAATGCATGTACTTATCAGTTAGCAAATTTTATAAAACTGCCCTTCTTGAAGATATGTATGTATAATTTATAAAATTTTAGGTCACATTCATCCTACATTTTTAAGTACCATATTTAGAAAAGTACCAAAACCACAGTAAGAAACGAAACTTTTCTATGTGACCTCCTAGAGGAAATGCTTCTTGCAGTTTTGTGTACAGTTTTTCCATAAAAAGTAGTGTTTTAGGTATACACAATGTCTAATGTAAATTCTCACACCTATTTTATTAAAATCTAGTCTTGGGCTGGACATATTCTTCTTTTCCTTGCATTTTTCACTTGCCAATAAATTATAGCTACCTTTATAGACCAATACATACAGATTTGACAAGGTTTTTTTGTAATTTTTTATTATACTCTAAGTTCTGGGGTACATGTGCATAATGTGCAGGTTTGTTACATAGGTAAACACGTGCTATGGTGGTTTCCTGCCTGTCGGGGAGTGGGGGAGCTAGAGGAGGGATAGCAGGGGGTGGGGGAATTAGGGAGGGATAACGTTAGGAGAAATACCTAAGGTAGATGATAGGGGTATGGATGCAGCAAACCACCAAGTTCTTTTAAGACTTTATATTGGATGCAATGTACTTTTTAACCAATTAGTATTGAAATAGATTTAGGAATTTTCCATTTGTTGCCATAATGAATAAGACCACGTAAACACTCTTTAATACTTTCCTTACATGAATATATTTCTATATTCTTGCTTTTATCTTAGTAGACTAGAGTCCTACACATAGGGTTACAGAATTTTCATGAATTGAGAAGAATGGGCATCTTTTTGCTATTAAGACTTCTTGTTCAGGAATATGTATGTCTCCCTATTTATTCAGATCTTGTTTTATATAAATAAATAAAATTTTTCACCATACAAGCATTTTATCTTTCTTACTAACATTTATTCCTTGGAATTTTATTATTTTTGAAACTATTATATACAGGGCAATTTTTCCATTTCCACATTTAACTGATTACTGGTAATTAATGTTTTGGTTCTAGCATATGTGTCTTGTATCCAGCCACAATAGTAACTTTTCTTATTATTTTGTAGTATACATTAGATATACAATGTAAAATGTTATCTGCAAATAATTCCCCTCTCTGATATTTATACCACTTATTTTTCTTTGCTGGAGCATGTATTTACAAAACATTATTAACTAATATTGTGAGAGTAGCCAGTTTAAATAGGATTCAGTCACTTGTGATTGAAAAGTCTTTGACAAATATGAGAGTAGGATTTGGCAAATGCATAGTTGCTAAATGCAGATGAAACACCTGGTGTCTAATCTCGGTATATTATTTTATTAAGGATGGAATGTACATTTTTATTTATTGTTCTGGCTTCTTATAAGGTTCAGTAGACTTTGTAACACAGTCATATTCTCTCATATATTGGCAGATGTTTGGTGAAAGAGTGACTGTTCAGCCAACTCATGGGAAAGTGAAATAATGCTCTTGCTAAAAAGCAGGAAGGCTACAGTTGTAGGCTTTTCAAAATGAGGCATGACTTTTACATCTTCACAAGACCAGGCTAGGAGGTGCAAGTGGCAGAAATCTAGGAGGCTGGACTTGTTTAAGCACTTTTCTCCCCTTTACCCTCCATTAATTATAGAACCAACCACCACTTATGTGTTGACTACACCCTTTGGCCAATGGTGAGACCCTGCTACTTGTTGAGCCCACACTGAGTTTGTTGTGGCTCACAGGGTCACCCAGAAGCCTTTAGAGATATAGAAACCTACATATGATTTTATATCACCTATAATAGGGGGATAGCTATAAAATGTGAAACATTAAACCATATATGGTTTCATTTGTTTTAATTACAAATATCTTTTATGATATATGAAATAAATTCATTTATGTATCTATTAAAGAATATGTATGTATGAAACTTTTTATAGTTGTGGAGGGTTATATATATTAATGTGTATGTTTATGATTATATGTGTAATGCCAGCGGAATTCTCACAGACGAATTCAGAACTCAAAGAGGGCTTCCTGGTAAAGAGTCTTGGATATGGCCCAACCACAAAAGTTAATTGTCATCAAAAGAATGGTGGACACTACATATTGCTCCTTCTTTGTTTCAGATGTTCAGGGTGTGTCTGGGAAAAGCATGCAGTTGGTTACATCTTGCTGGGAAAGAGGATTCAGAGTCTGTGTCTCATCTGTCTGATGAGAAGGAAGCATTACTTTATGATAGAGTATGTGATTTTACATGTATGTGTTTGTATATGTGCAGGTGTGTTTGTGTGCAGTGTCCCAGACCCTACATCGGGGATTTTCTTGAAGGTTTCCTATAACAAAATCTCCTTGAGCCTATCCAATGGATAGGCTCTTTAATTAATCCCTCTTTAATTACATCATTGGATGTAATTAAATACTTTAACAAGGATGGCAGATAGCACCATCTCCAACATCAGGGATCAAATTTCAATGTGAGATTTGATGCTATTTTAGTGAGATTTGGAGGGGAGAGACTTCTAAACTACATCATTTGGTGTGGTCATTCTCTTACATTTCAGCGTTCTAATGTGTGTGTAAATTAATGGTGTGTAAATAATTCATCAGAACATTGAAATTGTTTTAAAGAGAAAAAGAGGAGGTCACTCCTAGTCTTTGAATTTTTGCTTAGTTCCAACAGAATTGATGACTTGTTTTAGGTATAGAAAGTTCAGGCTCCATCTATACCATCCATGGCAGGTGCAGCTTTGCAGAACTGGTTACAGAGCAAGAAGAGATCTGTGCTTCCCCCATTGCTCAAAGATTCTTGCTCTAATCCAAGATCCAAATTCAAAGCTAGTTTTTGGTGAACAGGACTAAGACCTCCTACTAAAATTGTTTACTTCAAGTTTTTATTTTTAAAGTTCTCAAACATACACAAAGGAGAGACTCAGTGTAATGAGCACCCACTTATCCATCCTTAGGTTAAATAATTTTCACTATTTTGCTGTACCAATTAATCTATCCCTTTTTTTGTCTTGTTAAAGAAAACTTTAAAACAGAAATTTGTGTTATTTTATTTATTTATTTTTTAATTTTCTTTTTTTTTAAAAATTTTTATTGGATTTTAGGTTTTGGGGTACATGAGCAGAGCATGCAAGACAGTTGCGTAGGTACACACATGGCAGAGTGCTTTGCTTTCCTTTTCCCCTTCACCCACATTTGGTATTTCTCCCCAGGCTATCCCTCCCCACCTCCTCCTCCCACTGGCCCTCCCCTTTTCCCCCCAATAGACCCCAGTGTTTAGTACTCCCCTTTCTGTGTCCATGTGTTCTAATTTTTCATCACCCGCCTATGAGTGAGAATATGCGGTGTTTCATTTTCTGTTCTTGTGTCAGTTTGCTGAGAATGATGTTCTCCAGATTCATCCATGTCCCTACAAACGACATAAACTCATCATTTCTGATTGCTCCATAATATTCCATGGTGTATATGTGCCACATGTTTCCAATCCAGTCTATTATCAATGGGCATTTGGGTTGATTCCAGGTCTTTGCTATTGTAAACAGTGCTGCAATGAACATTCGTGTACATGTGTCCTTATAGTAGAACGATTTATAGTCTTTTGGATATATACCCAGTAATGGGATTGCTGGGTCAAATGGAATTTCTATTTCTAAGGCCTTGAGGAATCGCCACACCGTCTTCCACAATGGTTGAACTAATTTACACTCCCACCAACAGTGTAAAAGTGTTCCTTTTTCTCCACATCCTCTCCAGCATCTGTTGTCTCCAGATTTTTTAATGATCGCCATTCTAACTGGCGTGAGATGGTATCTCAATGTGGTTTTGATTTGCATCTCTCTGATGACCAGTGACGATGAGCATTTTTTCATATGATTGTTGGCCTCATATATGTCTTCTTTCGTAAAGTGTCTGTTCATATCCTTTGCCCACTTTTGAATGGGCTTGTTTGTTTTTCTCCTGTAAATCTGTTTGAGTTCTTTGTAAATTCTGGATATCAGCCCTTTGTCAGATGGGTAAACTGCAAAAATTTTTTCCCATTCTGTTGGTTGCCAATCCACTCTAGTGACTGTTTCTTTTGCCGTGCAGAAGCTGTGGATTTTCATTAGGTCCCATTTGTCTATTTTGGCTTTTGTTGCCAATGCTTTTGGTGTTTTGTTCATGAAGTCCTTGACTACTCCTATGTCCTGGATAGTTTTGCCTAGATTTCCTTCTAGGGTTTTTATCATGCCAGATCTTATGTTTAAGTCTTTAATCCATCTGGAGTTAATTTTAGTGTGAGGTGTCAGGAAGGGGTCCAGTTTCTGCTTTCTGCACATGGCTAGCCAGTTTTTCCAATACCATTTGTTAAACAGGGAATCCTTTCCCCATTGCTTGTTTTTGTCAGGTTTATCAAAGATTTTATGGTTGTAGATATGTTGTGTTGCCTCCGGTGCCTCTGTTTTGTTCCATTGGTCTGTATCTCTGTTTTGGTACCAGTACCATGCTGTTTTGATTACTGTAGCCTTGTAGTATAGTTTGAATTCCGGTAGTGTGATGCCCCCCGCTGTGTTCTTTTTGCTTAGAATTGACTTGGCTATGTGGGCTCTCTTTTGGTTCCATATGAAGTTCATGGTGGTTTTTTCCAGTTCTGTGAAGAAAGTCAATGGTAGCTTGATGGGTGTAGCATTGATTCTGTAAATTACTTTGGGCAGTATAGCCATTTTCATGATATTAATTCTTCCTAACCATGAACATGGAATGTTTCTCCATCTGTTTGTGTCCTCTCTGATTTCGTTGAGGAGTGGTTTGTAGTTCTCCTTGAAGAGGTCCCTTACGTTCCTTGTGAGTTGTATTCCAAGGTATTTTATTCTTTTTGTAGCAATTGTGAATGGCAGTTCGTTCTTGATTTGGCTCTCTTTAAGTCTGTTATTGGTGTAGACGAATGCTTGTGATATTTGCACATTGATTTTATATCCTGAGACTTTGTTGAAGTTGCTTATCAGTTTCAGGAGTTTTTGGGCTGAGGCGATGGGGTCTTCTAGGTATACTATCATGTCGTCTGCAAATAGGGACAATTTGGCTTCCACCTTTCCTATTTGAATACCCTTTATTTCTTTCTCTTGCCTGACTGCTCTGGCTAGAACTTCCAGGACTATATTGAATAGGAGTGGTGAGAGAGGACATCCTTGTCTAGTGCCAGATTTCAAAGGAAATGCTTCCAGTTTTTGCCCATTCAGTATGATATTGGCTGTTGGTTTGTCATAAATAGCTTTTATTACTTTGAGATACGTTCCATCGATACCGAGTTTATTGAGGGTTTTTAGGATAAAGGGCAGTTGAATTTTGTCAAATGCCTTCTCTGCGTCGATTGAGATAATCATGTGGTTTTTGTTTTTGGTTCTGTTTATGTGGTGAATTACGTTGATAGACTTGCGTATGTTGAACCAGCCTTGCATCCCCGGGATGAAGCCTACTTGATCATGATGAATAAGTTTTTTGATTTGCTGTTGCAATCGGCTTGCCAATATTTTATTGAAGATTTTTGCATCTATGTTCATCATGGATATTGGCCTGAAGTTTTCTTTTCTTGTTGGGTCTCTGCTGGGTTTTGGTATCAGGATGATGTTGGTCTCGTAAAATGATTTGGGAAGGATTCCCTCTTTTTGGATTGTTTGAAATAGTTTTAGAAGGAATGGTACCAGCTCCTCTTTGTGTGTCTGGTAGAACTCGGCTGTGAACCCGTCTGGACCTGGGCTTTTTTTGAGTGGTAGGCTCTTAATTGCTGCCTCGACTTCTGACCTTGTTATTGGTCTATTCATAGTTTCAGCTTCCTCCTGGTTTAGGCTTGGGAGGATACAGGAGTCCAGGAATTTATCCATTTCTTCCAGGTTTACTAGTTTATGTGCATATAGTTGTTTGTAATATTCTCTGATGATGGTTTGAATTTCTGTGGAATCTGTGGTGATTTCCCCTTTATCATTTTTTATTGCATCTATTTGGTTGTTCTCTCCTTTATTTTTAATCAGCCTGGCTAGTGGTCTGTCTATTTTGTTGATCTTTTCAAAAAACCAGCTCTTGGATTTATTGATTTTTTGAAGGGTTTTTCGTGTCTCAATCTCCTTCAGTTCAGCTCTGATCTTAGTTATTTCTTGTCTTCTGCTGGATTTTGAGTTTTTTTGATCTTGCTCCTCTAGCTCTTTCAATTTTGACGATAGGGTGTCAATTTTGGATCCCTCCATTCTCCTCATATGGGCACTTATTGCTATATACTTTCCTCTAGAGACTGCTTTAAATGTGTCCCAGAGGTTCTGGCATGTTGTGTCTTTGTTCTCATTGGTTTCGAAGAACTTCTTTATTTCTGTCTTCATTTCCTTGTTTACCCAGTCAACATTCAAGAGCCAGTTGTTCAGTTTCCATGAACCTGTGCGGTTCTGGGTTGGTTTCTGTATTCTGAGTTCTAACTTGATTGCACTATGGTCTGAGAGGCTGTTTGTTATGATTTCAGTTGCTTTGCATTTGCTGAGGAGTGCTTTACTTCCAATTATGTGGTCAATTTTAGAATAGGTGTGATGTGGTGCTGAGAAGAATGTGTATTCTGTGGATTTGGGGTGGAGAGTTCTGTAAATGTCTATCAGGTTTACTTGCTCCAGGTCTGAGTTCAAGCCCTGGATATCCTTGTTGATTTTCTGTCTGGTTGATCTGTCTAATATTGACAGTGGAGTATTAAAGTCTCCCACTTTTATTCTGTGGGAGTCTAAGTCTCTTTGTAAGTCATTGAGAACTTGCCTTATGTATCTGGGTGCTCCTGCATTGGGTCCATATATGTTTAGGATCGTTAGCTCTTCTTGTTGTATCGATCCTTTTACCATTATGTAATGGCCTTCTTTGTCTCTTTTGATCTTTGTTGCTTTAAAGTCTATTTTATCAGAGATGAGAATTGCAACTCCTGCTTTTTTTTGCTCTCCATTTGCTTGGTAAATCTTCCTCCATCCCTTTATTTTGAGCCTTTGTGTATCCTTGCATGTGAGATGGGTTTCCTGGATACAGCACACTGATGGGTTTTGGATTTTTATCCAGTTTGCCAGTCTGTGTCTTTTGATTGGTGCATTTAGTCCATTTACATTTAGGGTTAATATTGTTATGTGTGAATTTGATACTTCCATTTTGATGCTAAGTGGCTGTTTTGCCTGTTAGTTGTTGTAGATTCTTCATTATGTTGATGCTCTTTAGCATTTAGTGTGATTTTGGAATGGCTGGTACTGGTTGTTCCTTTCTGTGTGTAGTGCCTCTTTCAGGAGCTCTTGTAAAGCAGGCCTGGTGGTGACAAAATCTCTGAGTACTTGCTTGTTCGCAAAGGATTTTATTTTTC